ACGCCACGCCACCATCGCCGACCTGCTCCGGGGCGCCGCCGCGCCGCCACGCCTGACACCGAGCGCAGCGCCCCGCCCGCGGGACCGGGTCCGCGCCAACCCCCACACGCGGGGGACGAGAAGGCCCCGCCGCCGCCGGCGATGACCGGGCTTCGCCCGGCCGCGCCCTTTGGCGGCGGCGAGGGAGGAGGGGGAGGCGGAGGGGTGTTCGACGGCGGGGATTTGGGGCCCTCCCCGACGCCTCGCGGGTGGCGGCAGGAGAGGGAGGGAGGAAGGACGACTAGGGCTGGGGTGGAAGATAGACTCAGACTCCTCCTGGCACGTGCGTTGTACAAGGCCTAACCGTTATTTACTGGCATTGTAGCGTTTCCCCGGTTTCACTATTTACCTTTACCGCTGAGGTACTTAAGCCATCCTCGCCGTCTGTAACCGTATGCCAAATTTTCTGAGAATTCTTGGTCAACACTTACAGCTAATACAAGCATTCCCTTTGCGTATACTCTTGTGCTCCCAAACCCTAGTTTCTTCCCCAAATCGATCTCGATCTCCGTATGGGGCGTGACAATTCTCCGGTCGCTAGATTAGACGGCCGATCACTCAAACGTGACGTGGCCCCAGATGCCCTGTCCCAGTCACCGCACAGTGGACCAAGTCCACGGCCTGCGGCCGGACTCCGCCGTGTCGCTTAGTTCGTCATACTACTTGTAAACTGCCTCGTTCTCTCCGCGCTCCGGTCTACCCAGTCCACGCTGCGCAGGCTGGAATAGCTCGAATTCCCTCCCGCGTCGCCTCGCCTCGTCCCGGAGAAGGCTAGCCGCCCCGCGAGCCGAGCGCGGCGCCCATGGCGTTCGACAAGATCCAGGTCGCCAACCCCATCGTCGAGATGGACGGTGAGAACCCCGATCCCCCACTCTCCTATGGGAACCCTGCTTGATCTATCTCGTGCTTTGCTGCAACCCAAGAGAGCATGTTTCGATTAGGTACCGCGTGTTTGGCCGATTGTGTGGCTAAGTTTTGCGTGGGAATTGTTTGGTTGTACCATGGTGATGGGTGAATTTGTCTGCTTTATTACTTGGATTTGGATCATGTGCAGTCGAACTGGAACGTAGTCGATGCGCTACAGTATTACGGGATCAAATTTCTGCCTTGTACTTTGATGTTCTAGGCAGCCTTGGCCTACTTCACTTGTGCAGGAAAATGTGATTATTTGGGTGAAGTTGTTCGGTGGTGGAATGTAGACATCGTTCCACCAGCTGGTCTAATTAATTAGTTTACTATAGGTGCTTCACTGTGTATACACCGGCTGCTTTTAATTTCTATGAATCCAAGGTGTATTGAAGAAATTCTCTGATTAGAAAATGCACTGACCTCAGCAGGACTTCTCTATTGGGTGATATGAAAGTAGTATGATTAACCACGTGGAGGATACACTGATGGAAGATGAAAAACGTTCCAAATCGTCTTCCAGTGCACTCAGTATACACTATTTCCAGATACCAAGTTCAGAACTTATCTGCAAAAGTTATCTTTAAAAAAACTTATTTATTACATGATTGTTTGATTGTGCCTTGTTGTATACCAGATGTCAGCCCAATATGTTCCTCACTCGGAAGTTAGTACTGGATGAAAATGTGCCATGAATAGTCTGATTATCCTTTTGTGTAGCATTTACCAGGAAATATTTTTTTAGCCCATAAGTGTCATCCTTTTTTTTATCGTTGGGAGGCAATGCTTTTGCTGACTGAAATAACTCATAAACTATATGTTCATTTTGCATAGGTGACGAGATGACACGAATTATATGGAAATGGATCAAAGATAAGGTTAGTTCTTGGCATTTCTGTTTGTTCTTGATAGCGATGGAATACTTACCTAAGTATTGTGCTCAGCATCTCTTACGTCTTTACTCCATTTTATTACTTTTTGTGATTTTTGTGTTGCTTATTGCCCCCATCTTCATTAAGAGACATTTTCAAATATTTTTGTTGATCATGCAGCTTATATTTCCTTTCCTGGACTTGGATATAAAATACTTTGACTTAGGTCTACCTAACCGTGATGCTACTGGGGATAAAGTAACGATAGAAAGTGCAGAAGCTACCCTAAAGTAAGCCTCAGCTTTTCAGGTTCCTGATTCTGGGCCACTCTGTTTTCTTGTTTTTTTCACTATTTAGTTGTTCCTTTCCTTAATGGTTCTGATATTGTCTACTGCAAATCGATATTATCAGTGCTTCTGAACCTCTTCGTCCTAGTATCTCCTAGCAATTATTGATTGAATGAAGGAATTTGCATGTGTGCTGGACTGTTGGTGCTTCCATTTATGCTGATATATAACATATGCTGATATTATTATTTGTGGTTCCTATATTTGTAGCCTTTTACATTATAGTGGTTCAGTGATTCTATTTTTTTTCCAGGTATAACGTGGCCATCAAATGCGCAACTGTCACCCCAGGTGATGTTCGGCAGAATTTGGGCTCATTAACTTATGAGCGTTAAACTTATGAGCCTTAACGCTCTATAGCAACATTGGATGCCCATGTTAATTTTGATTTGGCGCCACACTACTTGTGACCTTACAGATGAAGGACGCGTAAAAGAGTTTAATTTAAAAGCTATGTGGAGGAGTCCAAATGGGACAATAAGGAACATCTTAAATGGTAAACCACTCACTCGTGATTCATTTACTTTACATATGTGCATTGAGATTCTTGAATCTTGTGTTCGTTCTACTCTGAACTTCCATCAATGCACCTCTTGTGGTTCTTTATTACTTACATTGGTGGAACTCATTTTTTTCCACAGGAACTGTTTTCCGAGAACCAATCATCTGCAAGAATGTTCCTCGGCTTGTGCCTGGTATGGTGGCTGTACTGCAGTGCTGCACACGCCAATACTTGGAGCTTGTTGATGTTTATGCTACATATCTTACTCTGACAGGATGGACAAAACCCATATGCATTGGCAGACATGCTTTTGGTGATCAATACCGAGCAACAGATACAATCATTAGAGGGCCAGGGAAGCTCAAGTTGATATTTGGTATGTAGCCCTACAAAGCTAGTTATCCAGCTGATGTTCTGATAGGTCTTACGAGTCAGAATTTGTAGAAGTTAGGACCGGATAGCTTGCGGCTTGGTCTCACTATTGTGTTTGTTCTACTGATAATAACTCTACTTCCTGTTTTTTACGGACATCTTTGCGATTGAAAATGTTGTTGGTTCTCAAAATAGAGACATGATTGTTGGAATAGACATGATGTGTCACCAGATTGGCACATTAAGCTTGGCTATCACTATAATCTGGGGTACTACTTCAGGACCCATTAAATGGTTTATATAATAAGGGGTACTACTTCGGAAAATATGAATTGGCTTATACCCCCTCTGTCCCAAAATAAGTGTCGCTGATTTAGTACAACTTTGTACTAAACCAGCAACACTTATTTTGGAACGGAGGGAGTACAAGTGTACAATGAATATAACCAGTTTCTCCGAGTAAAACAACTGCATATATGTGAATGTACCTTACTAATATAGTAAAGTACTAATCATATTTTCCCAATGACTAAATATAAGTTATCCATTGTGTCAGTGTATGTTTACTCTCTTATCTTTTTAAAACTACCACAGATGGCATAGAGGAACAAATAGAGTTGGATGTGTTCAACTTTAGTGGTGCTGGTGGAGTAGCATTGTCTATGTATAACACTGATGAGGTTTGTTCCCTGTGTCATGCTAGCTTTGATGCTGTGTGTGTTCAAATGTTTTTTTTAATCATGACATGATTTATCTTATTGCATTCCAAACAGTCAATTCGGGCATTTGCTGAAGCTTCGATGAATGTGGCTTACCAGAAAAGATGGCCACTTTATCTTAGTACCAAGAACACAATCCTGAAAAAATATGACGGAAGGTCAATATACAATTATCATAAGCTGTCTACTTACTTTGGAGACAGGCTTGCATCCATGTATGCATTTCATTGAAATATTACATCCCTTGCTTGCCTGGTTGTCTTGTATATCAGGTTTAAAGACATATTCCAAGAAAACTATGAAACAAATTGGAGAGGCAGGTTTGAGGATGCAGGAATATGGTAATCTATTTGCTCTGTCTTGTGCAGATAAGTATTAAATGTTTCTTCCTTCTCTTCCAGACTAATTGTTGCTGTGGCAGGTATGAACATAGACTGATCGATGATATGGTGGCTTATGCCCTAAAGAGTGAAGGTGGCTATGTTTGGGCTTGCAAGAATTATGATGGAGATGTGCAGAGCGATCTAGTTGCTCAAGGTATGTGCTCTACATATGGATGTTGTCTGCTGCAACCTTTTATCTTGAGAAGGATGGTAGTTCATTTGTTAAGAGCTGGAATGCTCTACTCCTGTTTCAGGTTTCGGATCGTTAGGTCTCATGACATCGGTTCTGGTACGTGCCCGGACGGATATTTCATGCTACTCTGTGTATTTCAAAGTTCAATTCGTGTCTCGTAACCATTTGTTAGGATAATGTTTTAGTGTTTTACTATTGGAAATGCACCTACATTGTGCTCTACTGCTGGAATAACTGGCACCCAGTATGTGCTTCTCTCTGCTCAGCTTAACAAGTATAGTTTGTGTTACTTTAGGTGTGCCCTGACGGTAGAACAGTTGAAGCTGAAGCTGCACACGGTACAGTCACACGACATTACAGAGTCCACCAAAAAGGAGGCGAAACTAGCACAAACAGCATTGCGTCAATCTTTGCGTGGTCTACTGGATTAGCACATAGGTAGCAATGGTGAATTAAACCATAGAACTTAGATGATAATGTTTTCACTCATTATGTTGAACCTAAATTTATTTTCTTCGTTTCGAAAAATAATAATTTATTTTCTTAGACCAGTTGAACATAAGTTTTTATACACAATTTATCTTAATATTCCTATTCAATGCCATACACAATCTTTAGTTTTCTTAATATGTGGAGTTGAGAACATTGTCTTCTAAACTTTGGTGGGAGTTTCCACTTTAGGAAGGTTATTGTAGCTTTTTTTTTCTTGCTAATTTTGTAAATATTAAGTATGCTGCAGTAACTTTATTTGATGTATTTGTAGCTGAAGCATTATGTCTTAATATTGAATACTTAATACAGGGCAAGGCTCGATGACAACAAAAGACTGTTGGATTTCACACAAAAACTTGAAGCTGCTTGTGTGGGAACAGTGGAATCTGGAAAGATGACAAAGGATCTAGCTCTTCTCATACACGGACCAACGTAATTCTGGCATTTCTTTCCATTCTGTAGCTACAGTACACAGGGATTACTTAGTTTTAATTGATTATTTTGTATTCTTTTTATTTAATTGCTTCTCATGATGTCCTACAGTGTTAGCCGTGATAAGTATCTGAACACCATGGAGTTCATTGATGCGGTTGCTGAGGAGTTAAGGACAAGATTGTCCGCAAAATCAAAGTTATAAAGGTGCTACAAGTAAGATAATTCCCCTGTCTATCTTCTTAGCTGCCTTGCAATGCTTCTGAAGCTCATGTTTTCTCATCTAAGCATTATCTGCCATTTTCGACACAGGAGCGGATAGGGCAAGGGACTTGTTAGGATCCTATAATACAAGGTTTACGTTTGTACTACGATAAGAGCTGTCTTCCCTACAGTGCTCAAATAGAGCCTCTGGTGACAGTCTGAATGCACCTCCGAACAATGAAGGAAGATGCTGTCTAGCTCGGAAATAAGTAGGCTCTTTTTTATCAGATTCTTTGGTGATGATCGAGTCATTTTCATGTAGCTCTTCCGATAGTGATGTCCAAATCAAGTTGGGCTTCTTACACCTACACACCCGAAGCGATGTTTGTACCAAACATAATAAGCCACTTTATTCAAACATTGTAATGTCACGACATGAAATCAAAAGCCAATTTGAAATCTGAAGCTGGTCATCCAAGGCATTGATGATATTAGCGACATGTTTCTTTGGTGCTTCAGTTTCCTCTCATCACAGGGCAACCTGAAGCCGATGTGGCAGCAGCAGCAGCAGGCGCGCTCAAGAAGCTTGCGAGGAAGTTGCCGCGCTCGTAGAAGTACTCCGCCTTCTCCACCTTCATCTCCTCATCAACCTGTCATCACATTGTTGCAGCGACCCATGTCAGTGTCTACTCTGTTAGACTGTTACTGTGATTCTGTGAAGTCCCAACTCTGAACAAAAGTTGACTGTACTATCAAAGCTGCCAAACTTACGTGGAAAATGCAGACCCCAAAGAACTCCACGCGCTGGCCGTGAGGAGGGTGCCCCTTGAACGGGCCCTCCATGTACCCCCAGTGCCGGAACTTGAAGGCGACCCTCGGCGGGCCGCTGTACACGTCGAGCACCTCGATGGCGAAGCCCCTGGGGAACGCCGTGAGGAAGGTCGACATGCCGGAGTCAACCGTCTCCTCGTCCGGGTCGTAGATGCGGTGCTCCGGCGGCAGTTTGGTCGCCAGGAACGCGTTGTAGCCGCCGATGGCCGTCCACTCCTTCCGCGTCAGAGGCTTCATCCCTGCAAATAAGCAAGCGTTGGTGCCGTTACAAGGCCGTCTCTCTTATGTCGCAAGATCGGTGGACGGAGTAGAAGCGTGCTGCTGTGCGGCGTCTCACCGTTGGTGCTCGCGGTGAATCCCTGGGAGTGGACGCTCTTCTGGTCGTCGGGGCGCACCTTGTGGATCATCTCCATCTCCCAGGTCTTGAGCAAGCGCTGCACCTTTCTCCTCGAGAGACCCCTCCGGCCATTCCTGTTGCAGTGTTAATCATGTGAACAAAGTTTAGAAATACTTCCTTCGTCCCATAATATAAGAGCGTTTTTTATACTAGAGAGTAATAATCAGTAGAAATTGGTGTGATTCAGGGTACATCATGGACCTCTTTCCTCCGTGGATAGGTTTAGTGGTGCGTACCTTGGTCCTCTCTTCCTCGAAGAGCTTGTTCACGACGTCGTAGTTAGGAGGGGCTCCATGCCTCCACACGGTGTTCTTCTCGCCCTCGCCGTGCATGAACGACCTGTACTTGTCGCCTCCTGTTTCAGCAGACGCCATGACTAATTACCTTCGTCCCAGTTCAGGGGACAACTTGGTAGTAGAAATCAGAAGTATTTTAGAAGCTGAGAGTCGAGTGAAAGGCTGATGCCCTACATGTAGGGGGTAAAGAAAAAAAAAAGTAGAGAACTGCATCATTGCGAACGTCACTGCATTGGAAAAACATGACTAGTAGTATATGCCATCCACCAACCCAATCACTTACCAGTCCCTGTCGCACTGAGCTGCGTCCACTCGTTTTCCTTATCCTTTTTGTCACGTTGGCATATGTTCAAACTACAGACCAAAATTGTATCGGCGATGTTTAAAGGTCTTTTGACGATGAAATTAGTAAACATATAAATACAAGACCAGGTTGAAAAGGTTTCAGGCCGGTGAACCTGGTGCACGGACTTTTCTAAAGAAAAGGCTTTGACGATGAATTTAGTAAAGATAAATACAAGGCCAGGTTGAAAAGGTTATACTGGAGTGTGTGACTAGCACGTCCATCACATAGCACCCATTCATCACAAATTGAACAATTCCACAAAGCAAAATAAACCACTTCAACACATGTCAAAATATAATTCTACAATGGATATATAGATAGGGCGATACACAAATGAATCAATCGAGTCTTTTGTTGAGCACGTTTGATCTCCTTCATGTGAAACCACTTCTTCCTTTCCTCATCTAAGAGGCTAGATCTCGCAACATGATCCTAAAATCTTCTTGTCCCTCGCAAAACTCAACTTCTCTCTCTCTCTCGAGCTCAATTACGTTCATTGTGGCTCCTCTTTAAGCTCTCACTTTGCAAATTTCTCTTGCTTCTTCCTGTTTATCTTCTTCCTCTCAATGTTCAATTTCTCTTTGACCCTCTCCCACTCGAACTCCATCTTCTCCCTTTGAACTCTAGTGTCACTTTGGTTCCAGCCGACCACTTGTGTATAGTAACCGCAAACTTGTTGACGCTCTCTTGGATGGTGGACCATCTATGTTGAAGAGAGCCATCAATGCCGGTGGTATGGATAGGGTTCGGCTTCACATACTTCTTGTGCTCATGGTAGTGTTTGTAAATTTTGTTTGCCAATACTCAGGGCCGGCCCTGTGTTTTGGAAGGCCCTAGGCGAACTCGGTGACATGGGCCCCTATATAAATTTCAACCAAATTTGACTATAATAATTCAACTGACTCCATCGACAACAATAATAACTAAATTCGAACCGACTCCATCGACAACAATAATACTAAAAAGATGGCAAAATAAAACTAACATGCCATGATTACCTCAAATAAGAACCAAATTCAACTGACTCCATCGACAACAATAATACTTCAGTGCTTCAAAAAAAGTTTCTTCGGACGTTTCTTGATGCAATAACACTTTCTTTTTTTTCTTCTCCTTTTTTCAGCACCAACATCTTCTTCTTAGGCAACATGGCAGGATAATGTCCTAAAATCATGAAGAAAAGAGGGTACAAAGACTTAAGAATTTATAATCGGATGATTGGAACCCTAGACATACATGTGGATAGTTGAATACGTACGTACTACTGAAATTGTCAAATTGGGATCTGGGGGGATGGATTAGGTCATCAGGAACATGGATGGATCATGGATACATATACAGGCTGAAGAAACTGACAGATGGAATGGATCATGGATTACCTCGTTGGCTCGTTGCAGACTTTGGGTTACCAGACTGCTATGCGGTGCGCACAGCGGCAAGCCGGCAGCGGCCGAGACGGAAAGGCGCCGAGCGCCGAGTGGCAGGCAAGACGAAGAGATTAGAGACCAACCGTCCAGACTCCAGACGAAGGAAAAGAAAATGAGCAGCCGGTACCGATCGTTGGCGCTAGCGTAACGCTTCGTAATCGATCGCATGGGCCTCGCGCCCTAGTCCATCTTGTTTTTTTATCATTTTTTGCTGGGCATTAGTATGTATATGTACTACATCATGGGCCCCCCTCCCGCCTGGGCCCTGGGCCGCCGCCCCACCGCCCATGCCCCAGGGCCGGCCCTGCCAATACTTAACGTCTTTTTGCTCGGTTCCACAAATTGAATGCATGCTTGTGGCCAACCAAGATTCACACAACAACACATTCTCATGGCTTGTGAATGCTGACCATCTTGCCTTTGGTACCTTTTTTAGTGCACAATGTTTGTCCGACTTCATACATGGGGCAATTGGTATCACATAAGCCATAATGCATAGGCTCTTGACCATCATGTATCATGTTCATCATGAATGTGTCCTACAATAGGCACTGCAATGAAACCACATCCTAGATTGATCCAATGGTATGTGCAACAAACGAAGCAAGCGATACAATGGCATATGGGGCAGGAATGTACCTGGTATTGGTCTGGCATATCGTCAGGTGTGCACGCACGGCACCGGCATTTCACAATGTTGTCCACTACCTTTGGAGTTGGGGGTGACTCGTACACTGTGTCCGCGGCAGCGACGTCTTCTGTCAAGCCATCCGTGATGGCCCATTCAGATGGCATAATGGAATTTGGTGCCTTGTTTTTTCTCGCGGTCACGACAGATGGCACGGAGGCGGTTGCCAGACTGGACGTGCCCATATCCATGTCTCATGCCTTCTCTGCATCTTCCCTCTCCGCAGCTACCGTCCCCGTTGCTTTCCATGGTTGCGCCGACCCCTTCAAATGATGTTCTAAGCCTTGCAAGAGATGATGGTCGGGACCCCCACAGACTCCGCCGAGGCATCATCCATGGCAATGGGTGGGGGACGCGATACTCGGCGTCGACATCTATGACGACAGACGAGGACAACAGCGTGGACGAGGAGCAAGGGTGGATGAGAGCGATGGCTCAGATGCGAGAAATGGAGGACAAACGTGGGAGGAGGGCGGTCGATTTGGTGGACTTGGTCAATTTGAAGTGGATTTAGTGTTGAGTATAAGGGTTATTTAGGAAATGTAGGATAGCGTAGGATTTATTCTACCTTGACCTGTACTTCAAGATGACCTTGTACTCCTATAGATATATGCCCACGAGGCTCAATCAATACAACGAACTATTTCATCAATCCTCTCTCTCCCTTCTAATATGGTATCAACCTAACCGATCCAAACCCTCGCCGCCGCCCATGCTTCCGCCCTGCGCGCTGCCACCGCAGCGGTCAGCCGACATGGCCGCCACCGGGGGCTGCGCCACCCGTACCTTTCGTCCGCCGGTCATGTTGACCAGCTGCCGCCGGGTTTTCTCTCTCCCGCCTCCGCCGCGTTTGCACGGTCGGGTTTTCTCTCTCCCGGGTTTTCTCTCTCCCGCCGGTCGCTTTGATCGGCATTTTCTTTTTGGTCTTCCGATCTATGATTGATCGGCTTGCGTCGCCCGCCGCCGCCGTCGACCCTGTGCGCCTCTACTCCAACACCGGCGCGACCGACAGGCTTCTTCACTGACATGCCGGCCTCGCACGACATGCAGTCCCTCACGGCCGTCGTCCACGTGCCGGCCCGCTCATCGATCTACGCCGACCGTCACCGCCCTCTCCGACCCGGACACCTGCATCGCCCTGACCCGGCGGCCTCGCACCATGCGGCGACCCATCATAGCCGCAGTACGCGGGCCAGCCTGCCCATCGATCCAAGCCACCCGCCTCCACCGCGTTTGCACGGTAGCCCTACGGTCTACCTCGCCGGCCTCGTCCCCGGTGGCGTCAGGCTCATCGACTATCTCAGCTCGTGCGCCACTGCAACGTTGGTCGCTCGAGCCTCGCTGCCCAGGCGTCGGTGCTGCTTTGGCAGCCAGGGTGCTGGTCGCACGACGTCCCACGCTATCCGTCTTCGGCGGCTTCATCTCAGACTCGACCGCCACCCCGCCTCCACCGAGCGGCGTCCCCGACCTCACGCGCGACCGGTTTGATCACCCGCTCACCATCGTGATCTGCCTTATCTATGCCCCGCGACCGACCTGGCCCGTCGGTTGCTTGCGCCTCTGCAGGTCCCGTGAAGATCGTCCCCGAGTTCAACGCGCTCCTCCATCGATCGAGCAAAGGGCTACCGCTGCGTTGCACCGTCGGGCCGCAGCGCCGCCGCCCCGTCGGGCCGCAGCGCCGCCGCCCCATGGTTCTTCTCCCGGCTGGACCGATCCGCGTCACCCCGCGTCGCCCTTCGGTCTGTAGTGCCGCGGCCCGCGGTCCACCGCCGCCCCAAGGTCGTCCGCTCCAGGTCGTCCTCGTGGCTGCATCGACCCTCGCGCCACCGCTGCATTGCCCCGTCGGGCCTTAGCGAGCGTGGCATGTGGTCCTCGCTGCTGCCCTGAGGTCGTCCCCGCGGTTGTAGCGACCCGCGCGTCACCATTGTGTCGCCCCTTCTGGCCGTAGTGCAGCGATACACGGTCCCCGCTGCCGCCCCGAGGTCTTCCCACCGTCGCCCCGACCTGCCCGCCGCCACTGCATCGCCCCTTCGGGCTGTAGTGCTGCGGCCTGCGGTCCCCTCCGCCATCACCATGTGTCGACCT